GAGTCAGATTCACCACTCACATGCAGTACAGCTGATCCACCCTAGGCAGCAGATACAAAACCTCCCAGAAGCACCACTTGCCATGCTTGTGCTAAATAACAGATGTAAGGAGGCAAATCCCTGCTCCTGTCTGAGGAATCCCCATATCAGAGAGCAATAAGCAGCTGGGCTGCCTTTCAGCACTTCATACATCCTGCTCCTGCCCTGGCTCCTCAGAAAAGCACCTGAGTAAGCTGCAAGATGAACTTTTCTGAAGGCCAAATGCTCTGCTGGGAAAAGGGCCGATGCACCAGAAAGACAATGCCAGGTATGCACCAGAGGTTACTCTAGAGGTATCTGCCAAATAAGGATCTCTGTTGAGCAGCTTCAGAATTTATCAGAACAGAGCCCTGCCTCGCCCAAAGGTAAGAAACCATCAGATCAGCAGCATCTCATCATCACAGATACACATTGGAGAGGCTGCTGATCATGATCTCAGGTGATTCTCAGAAACAGATTTTGATGCCTGGCTGCCCCAGGATGCCTCCCAGATGAGGCAGCAGTAAGGTTCACCGCAGGGCTGTACCCAGTGGGGTTCTCACAATACCAGATTTTCCTGTAACTGTGGTTCCCACTGCAGATCTTCCAGGCCTAAAAAGCAAATGACCTGTCACTAAGTTGCTGCCCGCTCTCTGTATTTTGTTGCAATACCAGCAAAACACAGCATTTCATTATTGCTACACAGCTCCAACACCCATCAGCACCAAGGACACAACATGGTTCCCACAGAGAGACTCAGGTGCGATCAAACTGTTCCGAATCCGCGTGGGGATGAGGGACTGACAAGGCACAGCTCTTCCCGCGGCAGGTCGGAAGGAGCTGGAGTTACTGGGGGTGAGGCGGGTTTGGTGCCCGCAGAAAGGGCGGATTGTCGAACATCACCCGCAGGCCGCGTTACTGCCCACCGAGCCCAGTCTGTCGCCCACCAGACCGAAGGGACACAGGCTCCCGGGCTCGCTCCAGCCCTACAGAGCGTTTGGCAGCTTTGCCTCACGCTTCTGACCTCGTCCCAGGCTCCGCGCCTCCCGTAGCGCCCGGGGCACGATAAACGCCCTTCCAGCGCCCCGCAGGGCACGGCCGGGCCGGGGAGGAGGGACGCGGGGAGGCCGGGCGC